CCCCTTTAACTTCTATTAGGTTTGAGAATGATATTCACCTCAACTTTCTGCTTGTATGTTGTGAAGTTGCTGGGCTTTGTTTAAGCAATCACTTCATTTCACCAGAATGAGTGATATTCACTTGAAGACATTCCCAGCAGCAGGGATATGGAATTTGAAAGCATGGACAAGGCAAAACCAGAAGTGGGCACCTTTCAGTCAGCAGCCCCTACTGATCACCTCCTACTAATATCACAACTGTACTCCACTTAATAACCATCAAGTAACTGCTCAGTTGTCTTGCGCCTTCTTTTCCAGTCCCCTCCTAATACTCCCAGCTTTTTACTCTTTCCTTCCTGTAACCTTTTTGCCCTTTGTTCTTCCTATATCCTTGTCACTCCGGCTTGCCAGCAAATCAATTCCTTCCCTACACAAAACACCAAAATGTTGTGTTTTATATTATTCTACTTTAAAATAGTAGAATAAATCCATTTCTAAGCACATGGAGGAGGAGAAAGTGATTAGGAACAGTCAGCATAGATTCACCCGGGGAAAGTCATGCCTGATCAACCTGATTTTCTTTTATGATGAGATAACTGGCTCTGTGGATGTGGGAATAGTAGCGGACATATTATACCTAGACTTTAACAAGGGTTTTGATACCATCTCCCACAGCATTTTTGCTAACAACCTGAGAAAGAATGGGTTGGATGAATGGACTGGAAGGTAGATAGAAAGCTGGCTGGATTGTCAGGCTCAATGGGTAGTAATCAATGGCTCAATGTCTAGTTGGCAGCTGGTATCAAGTGGAGAGCCCCAGGGGTCAATCCTGGGGACAGTTTTGTTCAATATCTTTATTAACCATCTCGAAGATGGGATGGTTTGCATCCTCAGCAAGTTCTCAGATGACACCAAGCTTGGTGGGTGTGTAGTAGATATACTGGAGGGTAGGGCTAGGATTCAGAGTGACCTAGACAAATTGGAGGATTGGGCCAAATAAATCTCATGAGGTTTAATAAGGACAAGTGCAAAGTCCTGCACTTCGGACAGAAGAATCCCATGCACTGCTGCAGCCTGGGGACTGACTGGTTTCACAGCAGGTCTGCAGAAAAGGACCTGGGGGTTACAGTAGATATTAAGCTTGATATGAGTCAGCAGTGTGCTCTTGTTGCCAAGAGGCTAACAGCATACTGGGCTGTATTAGTAGGAACATTACCAGCACATCAAGGGAAGTAAGTATTTTACTCTATTCTGTACTGGTGAGGCCACATCAGGTTTACAGTGTCCCGTTTTGGGCCCCCTGCTATAGAAAGGATGTGGACAAATTGGAAAGAGTCCAGAGGAGGGCAACCAAAATAGTGAGAAGGCTGGGGGACATGACTTATGAGAACAGGCTGAGGAAACTAGGCGTATTTAGTCTAGAGAAGAGAAGACTGAGGGGGGATTTAATATCAGTCTTGAACTACTTGAAGGGGGGTCAAAAGAGGATGGAGCTAGACTGTTCTCAGTGGTAGCAGATAACAGAACAAGGAGCAACAGTCTTAAGTTGCAGCAAGGGAAGTTTAGGTTAGATATGAGGAAGAATGTTTTCAATACAAGGGCAGTAAAACATAGGAAGTGGTTACCCAGAGAGGTGGTGGAATCTCCATCCTTGGAGGTTTTCAAGACGTGGTTAGACAAAGCTTTGGCTGGGATGATCTAGTTGGGGATGGTCCTGCTTTGAGCCGGGGGTTGGACTAGATGACCTCCTGAGGTCCCTTCCCACCCTAATTTTCTATGATTTTATGGTAAAAAAGTTTCATGGATATTTTATGTATTCATTGACATCTATGCTGTCATACACTTGCATGTGGTGTGTATACTGTGTAAGTAAGTCTCAGAGCACATTTATTTATATTTCGTTGAACCACCAAAAGTGAAATGACCTGTGGGTAATTTATATGACCATAAACCTATGAACCTACCACTAGCATTCCTGAACCTTGTTTTTATTTCAACAGAATTTGCTGTAGTACATTGATTTTCCCTGGAGGACTGCCATCAAGTACTGACCCAGCCCACAAGTGTTTTACTTGTAAGATCAGCAGGCACACCATCCCATGGCTCAAAGCCAGAGATTCACAACAGAGCAAAAGATTTTGATAACTGTAATCACCCTTCTCCACTTCTGCAATAATAGAACAGCCAGTTGGCCATACCACTCAGCATCCTCCACTATAAAATGTAGATGTGTAGTTCACTCCACAATGATTCTACTCAATCACAATGTTTTGAGCTTTGTAACACATGTTAAAACAGAATATAAATGTAGCCCTTCAACATACCAGGTTATAACACTACTATCACTTAATAGTGGTTTTTATTGTATTTTCAGCTTTACCAGGAGGTAAAACTTAGGAGGGAGAACAATATGAATGCCCATGATAACAAGGCCATTCATAGCAAGATGCTGCAGCTGTCAGTATATTCTCCTACTTCAGAACAGAATGACACAGCAGAACTGAACCATGAACACAAAGCAAATGACAGGGTGGAAGGAGAGAGTTCACTCAGTAAAACAGGAGAAGAGTGGAAAGACACTAGAACCAAGAAGAAAAACAATGCTTTAGTAAGGGACAATCTGACCTTTGAGGACCCTGAGGAATCTGAAGTCTGTCTGAGCCTGAAAACTCCTAAGGATGCCAAGATTTCTACCAGTGATCTCAATGTAGTAAGTACAAACAGTAGTGTGTAAAGGCTGATATCTTTCCCTCCACTTGTACCCATCCAAAGTATATCTATCCCTTGCTTCTAATAGTGGAATAATATTGCAGCTGGGGAAAGCATCTCCTTGCCCCTCATTTTGTTACTGATGAATTTAATGACATTTAATAAATGCATAAATCACATGTCGTTTACCACCTGCAGACATTTCTGTACCTTTCACTCCTACTTTCTTCTGCATAGGACTCTGACTTGTATATCAGGACTGTGTTTGAATAATTCTGGAAGTGTTATTTAAAAATGTTTATGCTAAAATAACATCATTTGTATTTATAAAGGCTCTTAAAGAACTTGCTAAAGTCAGTGAAGAATTATGCAGCTATCAAGAGGAAATTCGAAAGAAGTCCAACCACAGAAGGTAAACCACATTTGGCTTCTTTAGATCAGCGGAAGGAAAGGAACAAAAAGTCCAACCTTGTTCCATTTAGAGTAAAAAGAATTTTACTATAGAATATACTTCTAGGTCCTAACTTCTCTAATTTCTCTTTATGCAGTATAAGAAATTAAATCAGAACAACGCTTCAGTCTTTTTTCCTTGCAAAAAATCCAGCTTTATCTACACAAAATATAAACTTGAATTGTACTTAGCTTTAACACAGCCTTGCAAGGGAACAGAAAGAAATAAATATCCATATCTGCCTCCATCCCCTCCCACACTCCTTGCATTTGGCCATGTTAGGGTTTCATTGCTTTAAACGCAAATCTTTGTACAGGTGTTGGGGTTACTTCATGGGCAGAGTGCCAGTGGCACATCAGAAGAAACACAGAGGCAGGGAGTAGGATGAACCATTACTCTGTGATGCTCTGCCCTGTTTCAGACACACAAGTTTTGGAGACTGCTGATCATTTAAGGGGAAAGTAAGCTGCAGCCTGAGAAGAACAGAAGCACAGTATCCCTCCTATGCACTACAAACAGAGGGCCTTTGGCCATGTACTGCTCTTTGCACAGGACTGTACATAATACACAGAGATAGCCTGTATGTAAAATGCAGAGATTTTGCCTTAGCATGGCGGCCCTCTAAAAAGGATGCTCATCAGGGCACCATGGAAGAATTTTGCCTGAGTTCTTTGGTGATAGTGGGAAACACAGTCTGCCGTGGCATCTTACTTTACCTTCTTCCAAACAACTTATACCTTTTCCATATTAGGTACCTGTGCCCATTGTGCCAGGAGCTTGCTCAGGCTCAAGAACCATGGAGGAGCCCTTTACAGTCTTTCTTCCTGGCATACCCCTATGTGACCTGTGGGACAAAGTGCAATTATTTTAGCATCCATGTCTGTTAAGGAAATAGAGTCACAGAATGTGTAGAGTTGGTTAATGCATGATGGAAAATGTGGTTATTTAACAGAACCACGAGGACATGTTTGAATTGATATAGTGGATTTTAAGAAATTTACACAAGCCAAGGGCTACATCGGGAGCTCTGCTAATTTAGGCAAACTTCTACTGAAGTCAGTCAAAATAAGGGGCCCCATTTTCCTTCCTACAAAAAATAAAGCATGAGGAAAGGGGCAGAAGGGCAGGGATACACTGCACAAGCTTCCCTTTGCTGAGCTTTCTCCAGATCCTGTGCTGATTGGGTGGGAAGTCTTTCCTGAGTAAGTTATGTTATAGCAACGATTCCCTTCTCCAAGCTACCAGTCTTACAGTCCTTCCTTTGAGCACCTGTGCAGGGGAAAGTAGGAAGCTCTGCTGAGCTTCCCTGGGGAAATAGCCTCATCACTCATCCCTAAAAATGCTTCTCCTTTTATGCTTCTCCAGAATTAAGTCACTTTCTTTTCTGGGAGAATCTGAAGAAATGCAAAACACAGTAAGTATGCCTGAGAGGAACCATGTGTTCAGCAATGAACCTCAAATGGCTTCACTACCTTTTGAAACAGAGGAACAAAATAACAGGAAGAATCTGATGAGCTCCAACAGGAGTGTGAGCTCCAGTAGTACTCTTACGGGCAGTGGAGGAATAGACTTCATTCCCTGTCAAAGGAAAGAAGCCCCACCTGTCCCTCCACGAAGCACTTCTCGGCATCTGACCAACTCGCTTTCTGTAATTGTACCAGTTTCTGAAGTACCAACAAAAGATTCAGGCAAAAGAAGTAACGGGAGGCTTCAGGAGTGCAGGAGTGAAAAAAACATTAAGACTTGTGCAAAACAGAATGACACTCCAGGGGCATGTGTGGATGAAGGAAAGTCTGTGAAAGGCCCCACACTGGTGACTGCTTCAGTAGATGTAGCCAATAAAGAGAGAGTCTCTGATTGCAATCGACTGATAAGTTTTTGTCACAAGACATGGGGATGTGATGTGGGCAAGCTTGGAAAAAGTACTAAGAATGGGTCTTCCCCATTGTCAGCCCAGAAAAGCTGTTCAGATAGCAACATGGTGC